ATATAATACGCATTCAATAACTATATTATAGATATTATTTTTATTAAAAATCTTTCATCGTTCTTCTAGGAGTTTTATGCTTAATATGCAATTTATTTTAAATAATTTATAATATAATGTGTCAAATTTAAATTATAATTTAATTAGTTTGTATCATGAATTAATTTAAGATCGATTTAATTTAAGAAGGAATAATTTTAAAATTTTGTTTTTCTGAAAATGGAAGTTCAAAGGAAACAGGTATTTAAGAGAACGAAAAAGAAAGAAAAAAACTCTAAAACCTAGAATTTACAGCATTTATTTCTTTAAAGCTCTCAACCAACACTTTAAAGTGTACGTACTGTCCTTTCTTCCGTTTAGTGTTTGAATTCTTATATTATGATTCGTAAACAGTTGTTTTATTTATTTATTTTTAGTCCCGCAGTGGACTGATCGTTAAGACACGGTTCCCAGCAGATCAGCGAAGTCAAGCGTCACTGGCTGCGGTCAGTGTGCGGGTGGGTGACCACTTGGATCAGTCTGCGTAGGGACCGAGGGTGTGTGGTATCGGTCCTCGTTAAACTGTTCTACCGTAAAGTGCTCGACTTCGCGCGCAGGTCGTCGGGCTACCGAAGCGAGGGAGCCATCCCCTCCGCAGAGGATCAAAATTGTGATGGCATGTCCTCGGATCATCCTCCGGGATGTTTCCCAGACCGTCGCCAATAGCCATTGTGCAGCTCTAGTGCGACGTAAATGATTGTTGTTGTTGTTGTTACTTTACGTCGCACTAGAGCTGCACAATGGGCTATTGGCGACGGTTTGGGAAACATCCGCGAGGATGATCCGAAGACGTGCCTTCGCAATTTGATCCTCTGCAGAGGGGATGGCTCCCCCCCTTTGGTAGCCGAACGACGTGCGCGCAAAGCCGAGCACTTTACGGTGGGACAGTTTAACGTGGACCGATACCGCGCATCCTCGGTCCCTACGGACGATGATCAAAGTGGTCACCCACCCGCTTACTGACCGCAGTCAGTAATGCTTGATTTCGGTGTTCTGCTGGGAGCCACGTCTTTACGATCAGTCCATTGCTGGGCAAGCGTTATCAGAAGGACAATACTTCTAGCACAAGGACGAGGTTCTAAGCATATTGTTTATTGATACAATAAACATTTGCAGGCTTGTGTGCTTAATTAAGGCTTATAAACGTTTGTCAAGTAGAAGGACAGAGTAGGACATCATAAAGAATACATCCAGTGTTACGGCGGGATTCGAACCCGCCACCTCCACGTTTAAAAGACCGTTTGGCTGGCGATACCGCTCGGCATGGGAGGACCCGGTTCCAAACATATAAAATTTCTCTAATTAAACAAACACAAGTGACCGGAAGTGATTTCACGCACATTTTTTTTAAAAAACGTATATAAAAGCTCATCGATTCATTTTTCTTTGCCCACGAGTATTGCTAACGCAATTGAATAATATGCCTTCGTATTGAAGTTTGTGGGCNTCCCCTCTGCAGAGGATCAAAATTGTGATGGCATGTCTTCGGATCATCCTCAGGGATATTTCCCAGACCGTCGCCAATAGCCCATTGTGCAGCTCTAGTGCGACGTAAATGAACAACAACAACAACTTTCTGAAAAAAGATAATATGCGTTTAATAACTAATAAATTTTATCGATATTATTTTTATTAAAAAATTTTTCATTTTTCTTCATGTAGCTTTATGCTTAATATGCAATTTATTTTAAATGATTTATAATATAATGTGTCAAATTTGAATTATAATTTAATTAGTTTGTATCATGAATTAATTTAAGATCTATTCGATTTAAGAATGAATAATTTTAAAATAGATTATAGAATAGAATTTAAACACATTTCCTTCCGTTTAGTGTTTCTTATATTATGATTTGTAAACACATGTTTAATTTTTTTCTGATATTTTTGAAATTAATATCTTCTAACAATAATAATAAGACCAAGGTGTGTCATGATCACAGGCTGTAGTCTTAACACCGGCATTTTTAGCGCCCTTTATTTCACTTCTTGCGGCAGATTGAACCAGCAAGATTCTTCCACTTTTTTACAGGCATCATTCTCACTGTATGCGAAAAATACGCGCATGCGAATTCGGACATGTGAATGAAAACCATATGGGCGAAATATATTTTCCCTCGAAAAACTCCCCAGTAGGTGGTCATTTGTATCCGCGTATTTTTTGCATGCAGTGAGAATGGTAGATAAGTAGGTGCTTTATTTACGTCGCACCAGGGCTGCACAATCTGACTTTGAGAGCATTATGAGAAACATCCCTGGCTACTGGCGACATTATGGGAAGCATTCCTGAGGATGATCCGAAGACATGCCATTGCAATTTTGATCCTCTGCAGAGGGGATCTCATTTGGGAGGCCACTTCATCAATTTAGACATAGATTTGAAGAGGAAGGAAATTTTCTCAGAACCCACGGTACTGCTCAACGACCGACCGGATTTTACGAATACATATATCGCATGTACTCAGTGGGCCTTATCGAAATCGAGGATTGTACCCCGGTCTCTCCGAGCCGAAGTCCGATTCTATAACCACTGGATTACCACGTCCACACTGAAAATGTTGCCATCCCCAAACGTTCTGAAAATTTTGTTTATTTTTTTCCACTTGCACCGATTTGCATTAACGCTTTCAGCGTTATGGTATATTGAACTAACAAGATTATTCCACTTATTGTTGAGACCCGCAGAGAACTGATCGTGAAGACCCGGTTTCCAGTAGAAAACCGAAGTCAAGCATCACTGACTGCGGTCAGTAAGCGGGTGGATAACTACTTTGATCAGCCTTCTTAGCGACCGAGGGTGCGCTGTATGGGTCCTCGTTAAACTATTCTACCGTAAAGTGCACGACTTCGCGTGCAGGTCGTTTGGCTACCAAACCTGGGGAGCTAACCCTCTGTTGAGGATCAAATTTACGATGCCATGTCTTCATCGATGCCATCAAATTACAATGCCAGGATCATCCTCATCGATGTTTCCCAGACCGTCGTCAATATCCAATTGTGCAGCTCTAATACGAAACAAATAAAATACCTACCTACCACTTGTTGTTGAATTAACTTCTACAATAAGGATTTGCTTTTCTAGCGTTCTCTGTCAGGGTTTCGATTTTTTTTAAAATTTATTTATTTATTTATTTTTTTTTTTTGTTTACTTACAACGTTTTCTACTTAAAGTCGTCAATTTCAAAGTTTAAGAAACTTTAAATATTTCATTTAAAATACGAATAAAGATATTAATTAAATAATTGCTAATGCAAACTATTCATTTTGCTGTATGTTCGATTGAATGCTAGTAATTAGTTTAAAAGGATTCTTTAATTCTAACTCTTTTCTTTAGTAAATAAAATTCTTAAGAAGTTCTTCCTATAACATGAACAGGATATATATGACAGGCTTGGAACAATTGAGTAGCAAGACACAATTTTTCCAAGGGTGACATTTTAGCATGAAACTTTTCTTAGGTATTGTTTCCATAGAGGTGCTTTACAAGGACGAGTTTCCAAAATTTCCATTAAATAACAACCCGATACATAGAAAAAGCATTCCAAAAGGCACGATTCCTGTTTTCTCCAAAAATGCCCTCCTGAACACTTTAGCTACGTGACTGGGCGATTTCGGCTACTCGCTACACTGTAATAAATTCCGGATCGAATTACGGTAAAGAGTACTGGCACCCCCGAGTGCAGCATTCGTGAAATAGATTTTTGCGTTATGACGTCAAGCTGTACTGCTATAAGGTTACAAAGTTCTAATAGAAATATAAATCCTCTAGCTAGTAGATATTTCAATAGCAATATTTCATAGTTGCAAACACGAAAACAATGTTATAAAACCTTTGTTAAAATGCATAAAACTATGGTTTAAAAAAAATATTTTTACATATTATATTACTAAGTTTTAACTCAACTGATCTCTAAAAATTTCTTTAAAAATATCTATAGATGAAACTGATATTGCTTGCGCTGTATAATTAGCTATAGGGTATATACACAACAAAGACATACACTTCCTAGAATTTAAAAAAAGAATCGTCCATTCGAAAAGTTAAAAAGTTTATCTTGAGTCTGTAATTAAGAAAAGCCTTAAGTAGCTTTTCAGCCAGCTGGTTAACATTTATAGCTTAAAACATCTGCCTTCCCTTTAAAAAATAAAATAAAGGAGAATTATTAAAAAAGGAAAAAAGAAAGTAATATTATCATTGAAAATTTTTACTGCATTATTTAACTAAAGGTCGCACAAGAAACTCGTTTAACTACTGGGAGGAAATGTCTAAAAAAAAGTAACTATACATGCATAATGTGTTTTGGCGAAAAGGCAAATGTATAAAGAATATCAATAAAATATAAAGAATGATTGTCTAAAAAAGATTCTTTTCTTAGATTTTATTTAAATAAAGCATAAAAAAGTATGTCTGGAATTAAATGAAGGATGGAAAAATTACAGATTTTTATTACACCTGTCTAAATCAAGAATTATTCTCTCAAGTTTTAAAAAGACGGTCACCTACCTCATCACGCATCATCGTCATCACGTTCGTCATCTTTTTGTAAACGCAAAATACTTATTATACGATATGGCAAAAATATTTAAAACCCGTTTAAACGACTAACAATATTTTTTGTCTTTTTAATCTAGTGATTTCACAAAATAATAAAAATATTTTTAAAACTTTTTAGATGAGCAGGAATATGTTTCTAAATATAGTCTTCTAATTTCCCTACAAAAAAAACTATTGCAAACTATTTAGTTGGCCAGGAAAATGTTTGTAAAAATTGTCTACTGATTTTTCTATTTTATAAAAAAAAAATATTTGCAAACTATATAGATGGCCAGGAAATGTTTTGCAAATGTATTTTATTGATTTTACTATATGAAAAAAAAATTGCAAACTATTTAGATGGCCGGGAAATGTTTTGTAAATGTATTTTATTGATTTTACTATATAAAAATCTTTTTTGGCAACAGCTGGTAGCCTCTGTTGCATACGCTTTTTCTCGCTCCTTGAATATTTTGATTTTACCCATTGTTTTAAGTCTAATTTCACTTATAATTATAAAAATTTGAAAATATCAATTTAATGTTTTAGTACGCAAGCTTTCTATACATAAATATTGCTTCAAACAATGTCTTCGTCAAAAATTTTGTGTAAAGCATGTACCGAACCAATTCTGGAAGACTCAGATGGATTAACATGCAAAGGTGAATGCAATTCTGTTTTTCATTTTCATTGTGGTGGTTTCGCTGAAAGAGCTTTTAGAAGACTTACTGTTGATAAAAAACAAAAGTGGACCTGCGCACAATGTTCAAAATCACAGGAAAATCCAACGAAAATAAAAAGTGCAACTAGCCCAGACATTCTCGAGGATATCTTACAGCAAAATAAAGACCTAAAAGAGTTAATAACTAACAAATTCAATGACTTAACCCGTTCAATTGAATTCAACAGTGAAGTAATTCAAGAGTTGAAAAATTCTATCACAGAGCTACAGAACGTAAACAAAACTTTACAAGCAAAAAATGATCAGCTAACTAGAGAAAGCGCAGAAATAAAGAAGGAACTGAATGAACTAAAAGAAGCAGTTATTGAACTCAAGCAATATTCCCGAAGATCCAACTTTGAAATAAGTAACTTACCCGAATGTGAAAATGAAGACATACAACAAGTAATATCCCAGATTGATAATGTTGCGAATACTAATATATCCGAAAATCTGATCACCGCTCACAGAGTCCCCAGCTTTAATAAAGATAAACCTAAACCCATCATCGTTCAAGTTAAATCCAAATCTGTACGTGATGAGCTCTTAAAGAAACTGAGAAATCGTAAACTTTCAACCTGCGAAGTCAACTCCAGATTCACTGAAATGCCTGTTTACTTCAATGAACATTTGACTCCCGAACTGAAGCATCTATTTTATCTTTCACGTAAGGCTAAATCTGAAAAGGGATTCAAGTTTTGTTGGGTTCGTGATGGTAAAATATTCCTGAGAAAAGATGAATCGTCCAAAATAATACGTGTGAAATCATCTCAAGACCTTAATACTCCATCCAACTGAAGAAACATTTTTATCTGTGCCGGACTGCCTAAAAATTGAAAATTTGGACGATTTAAAGTTTTTTATTACCTCAACCTGTAAGTTAAACATTAATATTTTACATATAAATATTAGAAGTTTAAGAGCCAACTTTGATAATTTTATTTCACATATTTCTAGCATGATTGAAAATATAAGTGTCATAATTATGTCGGAAATTTGGATTTACCAAAATGAAACTAATTTTTACTCAATAGATGGTTATAATTCATTCTTTAATTGCAGAAATAATAATCGCTCTGGAGGTGTTTGTGTTTTTATTAAAAAATGTCTTGATATTTCAGAGTTAGCTATACATTTTGTTTCCGCAGAATCTATATTACTTTATTGCAAATCTTTAGATTTATTATTTCTATCTTTATATAGATCTCATGATTTTACTGTTGATTTTTTTAATACTGAACTTAAAGTAATAATCTCTAAGCTTAAATATCCTAATATAATACTGATGGGTGATATAAATATTGATATTCTAAGTGATGATTTTATTACTCATGAATATATTAATTTATTATGCCAATTTGGATTTCAAAATTACATAGACAAACCAACTAGAGTAAATTCCTCATCAACTTGCATTGATCATGTCTTCGTAAAAACAAATAAATTTTCAATCAAATCCGGAATATTCATAAATGACATAAGCGATCACTATCCAACCTTTTGCAGTGTTCATTACGATGAGGTAAATAAAATTAAGGAAGCTGAAAATAAAATTTCAATCAACTATAATAAGCTCAATAATTATCTGTCAAATTACAAATTTAATTACAATCCTCAAGATTCTCTTGATCAACAATATCGAAGTTTTGTTTTCAAACTCAATAATTTAAAAAATAATTTTAAATATAAGCATAAATCAAACAAAAAAGCCAAAAATAACTGGATGACTAATAATATCTTGATTTTAATTCGAAGAAAGGAAAAACTATTCAAAAAAACTAGAAAATATCCATGGGATATTATTTACAAAACAGCATATAACACTATAGTTTCTGAGCTTAAGAACTTAATTAAAACAGCAAAATCAGAATATTTCAAATTCAAATTTTTAAATTGTGATTCAAATAAACAAAAATGGGATCTTGTAAATGGTATTATTGGTAATCAGAGCAAATCACTTACTTTACCTGATATTTTAAACGACTATGAATCTTCTGATCAATTCAATAAATCATTTGCAAATGCCTACA